AGTGATAACATATGGTATTTGTCTTTCTCTTTCTGACTTACTTCACTCAGTATGATAATCTCTAGGTCCATCCATGTCACTGCAAATGGCATTATTTCATTCTTTTTATGGCCAAGTAGTATTCCATTGTATATATGTACCACATCTTCTTTATCCATTCATCTGTCAATGGACATTTAGGTTGTTTCCATGTCTTGGCTATTGTGAATAGTGCTGCTATGAACATAGGGGTGCATGTATCTCTTGGAATTATAATTTTGTCCAGATACATGCCCAAGAGTGGGATTGCTGGATCATATGGCAACTCTAGTTTGTTTGAGGAACCTCCATACTGTTTTCCACAGCGGCTGCACCAATTTACATTCCCACTAACAGTGTAGGAGGGTTCCCTCTTGTCCACACCCTCGCCAGCATGTTATTTGGAGACTTTTGAATGATGGCCATTCTGACCAGCGTGAGGTGGTACCCCACTGTGGTTTTGATGTGCATTTCTCTAATATATGCTGCTTTTCTGGTTGGTCTCTCAACAGCTTGTTTATTGGGCATTTGCTCTGAGATTCACACGGTGCTAGGCTCCACAGAAAATTTTTTAAAACTTAGGAGGCAGTGTGTGTCCTCAAGAAGCTGACAACCCCACTAAGAAGACAGGGCCACTCAAACAAAGAGTTTAGGTGGGGCTGTTGATTCCTGGTGGTTAATCCAACAGCTGTGGCCATGACACTGGCCTTGGGTTGTTATTGACAGTCAACCCAGGTGTTACTAGAGTATGCCAGGTAATTCTTACAAAGTACCTACTAAATAGTTATGGAGCAAGTGGAAGTCTGAGGTAGAGAGATGTACAGGGAACTTAGAAATGAATCTTTGGATCAGAAAGTAGATCCAGAACTTCTGAGACACCATCATGTCTGTTTCTCCACGAACCATGCAGATGACTTTTCTATTTGATTTCCTAAAGAAGAGGGTCTTGAGGCAGCTTATCCTCCTCAGCAGAACACAAAGACTCACCAGCAACGTTTAAGACAAATGTTCATCAGACTTTCGGGTTTGTTTTCTCCTGAGATTGTTAACTGGAAAAGAAAGCGGAGTGTCAGAACTTTCCAACACCCTCTCCACCAACAGGCTCCATAATTGGCATATATATATTTTTTTGATTTATCCTTTCATTCATGTATTTACTCGTTCAATAAATACTAATTACGTTCAATGTTATGTACTAAGTGCAGATCTGTCTCCAAAACTTGAACTTCTACCCAATATGATATACTTCCTCTCTGTGGCAAAAAAAGGGGACCCTCCATGTAGGACATGCCCAGACAAAAGAGAAGGTTGTCCTCAACCGTTCCCCAGTGATTAGGATTATGGGGCACCAGCGTAACCACACATCAGAGCCCAGCAGGGCCTACTGAAGACTCTGAAACGTACAGGGAAATCAGAAACTGATCTCTGAATCTGAAAGTGGCTTTATCAGTCTCTAGGGCACACCTACCTGGGGTCCCCCCCCCCAGATGAAAGGAACTTCAGTTCCAAGCCCAGCCATGTAGCACAGAGAGGCAGTGTGACATCTTTTCCTAATTGTTACTGATGCAAGGAGCCAGCAAGGTGATTGTTTTCTTCTTTCAGGTGCCCTACGGGGCCTTGCACAGTGTTCTGCATGTAATCACGGCTCAGGAAAGACTTGGTGGTGGTTGATATCCCACAGAAACCTGAAAATTCCTTCTCCCCCTTTTTCGGGGTGCATAGCCATAACTGATGGCCATCTGACTTTTGCTCCCAGTCCGTGGCTCCAAGGCAAGCCTGTACGGGCCCCTCGCAAGGAACTATAATAATAGCTAACATTTAGTGATAGGCTAAGCATTTTGCGTGCATTGTCTCATTTAATCTTCGCCACTGCCCTGGGAAATGTCTAATGCTAGTTCCATTTTGCTTATGAAGAGACCGAGCCTCGGCAGGGATAATTATTAGTATTGTGCTGTTTGTAAGCTGCACTGTACTTTTCTTTTGTCATCCAGGGGTACCATCGACCCCGGCACTACATTGCTACTCAAGGTAAGTGCCCTCCTTTTCCTCTAAAGGGCCCTTGCCTTACACTGGAGGAGAGGAATGAGCTTCTACCAGCCAAGAAGTCATAGAGGAGCAGGGCTGGAGAGCCTCCCGAGGTCTCGAGATTGTTCATTTGTTTGGGAAGGAAGGAGGTGACAAGTTCAGCTATGGGGGGAGGGACGTAAGGGAGAGAGGAAGGAGGTGTCACTAGGAAATGGTCAAGAGAGATGGGCCCTGGACCAAAAGCATCAGCCTCAGGCATGTGCCATCAGTATCCACCATTCGGAAGTGGAGCTCTCGGTGCCTGATCTCCTCGATGGGTGTGTGCGCGGGAGAGAGAGGCAGCCGACGCTCCTAGAAAGCAACTTACCAGGATGTTATGAGAAGACTTAAAAATGACTATACCTCTCACACTGTGAGGAAATCCTGTGGATGATTATATATATATGTGGACAATGACACATATAATAAGATACCCTTCACAGTGTTACCTAATAGGAAAAAAAGTGAAAAATCTTAAATGCCCATCAATTGGTAGATTGGTTGAAGTGTGACACTTCCATGTTATGGAAAATTATGCAGCTATGAAAAATGTCACGGCAGGTAAGAGTTTTTAAGGGCATGGGAAAATACGTATAATAGATATAACGCTTATTATAGCAAATACAATATATATACACATATATATATATTTGTACAGAAAAATGGCATTCAAAATTTTGTATCAGATAACACTTATTACTCTTGTAATTTTAAAAATGATGGAGGCCCAGGACATTGAAAGAGAAATTTCCAAGGAAATTTCTGTGGACTCTCAGATTCTGTCTCCCATTTCTTGTCTATTTTTCTTCCCTTCTTTCTGTCCAGGCTCCAGACAAATGCATTTGTCAAGCTCAGAATCGGGCATCTTCTGTCTGTGCTCCCAGCATCTGACTCCTGGCAGCTCCTCTGCCCTCCCACCCCACCCCCACCCCAGTTTCCTTCCCGTCTCTCACTGAGGCTCTGGAGCCCAATTTTTGAAAACTCCCTTAAGCTATGTCATTAACCGCTAATATAAGGTGATGGGTTGGCGGGAAAGTGGGGCTGGTGGAAAGGGTCTGAGCAGGAGGGCGATGAAGAGGAGAATCTGCGGGCATTTCCAGGGGACGCTGCAGACCCTGCTAGCTGGAGTGTGGCTTTTCTCGTGCACACTCTGACCTCACACGCTTCAGTCCCCAGTCTCCGCTACTTGTGTCCCAATAGGAATCGCTGACCTCCCTCTTACTCACCCACCCGGAGCCTTGACTGACCAGCCGGGAGGGACAAGCCTCTTGTCTGCTTCCTTGCCATTGCAGTCTGACCCTGACACCTTCTCTGTTGGCAGGTCCCATGCAGGAGACCGTAAAGGACTTCTGGAGAATGATCTGGCAGGAGAACTCGGCCAGCATCGTCATGGTCACAAACCTCGTGGAAGTGGGCAGGGTAAGCCCCTCCCGTGGGTACCTGGATGGAGTTTGCTGGCTGGCATTCCGCTGCCCAGCATCTCTCTGTGCCCAGTGCCTCCCGTTCCACATTTCACCCTCACGGCACCCTACGCGGGAGAAGTCCTCCCTCCTGTTCATAGTCGAGGAACATCTTTTCCCTTCAAAACCCTCTCGCCCCTTTCTCCACCCTCACTGTCTGCTGATGACGTCATCTCGTAGACTTTGAGGGAATTACAGCCATCAGACGTGAATGTTCATCTTCACACTGCAAAGCTGCATCCTACTTGCGTCTACAACCATCTTCTCATTCTTCTCCTCTATTATCAGGCTGAACCATAAGACATGGCTGTTTTTGTTGACCCCAAATGGTAGAATATCATGTTTCTTATGGTGCAGCCTAACGTGATAGGAGAAGTGACTCTTGCCCTTTCAAAGGCAATTCCTAGTGCCTCGAATCACAGGTTCCGCTCAAGAATGTCTCATTCTCCCCCTCTTGCTTGGAAAGTAATTCTCTTTCCCATTGCTAGATTATTTCCCTCAGCATACAGACATCCTGAGTACCTTCCCCCTTAAAAGTATAAAGCAGGCAAAACGAAACTGCTGATCCTGTCCCTGCTTTTCTGCCAGACCCTGAAATCTCACACACAGGCTCTGCTGCTTCACTCCCGTTCTCTTCCACCCACTGCAGTGTAGCTGCTCCCTCCATCCCACCCACAGTGATTCGTCAGTATCCCCAGCATCCTTCATGTTGACAAATCCAATAGCCATTTCTCTCTTCTCATTGTACTCAACCTCTCAGCAGCATCTGACCCTTTGTTCCTCGAAACCTTGACATTCTTCAGGGTTTAGACCTTGGTCTCTCACTCTGCTCTGTCTCCACTGTGTGCTCCTTAGCTACTCCTGGGGCTTAGAAATGGGACTGCTCTTCCCAGCTTTTGCTTTCACCTACTTGGTAAACCGTGGCATGTGGGTGGGTGGGTGCTGGGTGCACAGACACTAGAATCAAGAGGGCCTCTCTACTTATCACACGAGCTAACTGAAGACAGGGCAGGTAAGTTTTTCTTCTGGCGAGAAGCAGATAATCCATTAAAATGAAGAGTCCTGGCCTCCAAGATAATGGGAAGGGGGAGAATCCGGGCTGTCAGTCATGATTCAGCAAAGGGCTTTGGACATCTCGTGGCCTAACAGGAATTGAGGGCCAGAAGAGACTTTGTCCTTGAGCCCACTCTTATTTAGTCCATTGCCCAGTTTTACAGATGAGGAAACAGACCCAAAGGAGTGGAGTGAATGCCCTGAAGTCACCCGGCCACAATCTCTGACTCCTGGCTCTCGTTCTCGTGGTCATGGTCCCCCTACTCAAGACTGCGCCCCAGGGACTCAGGCCCAGGGAGCAGCTACTGTGGACAAAATGTCCAGCCCAGGATTTAAGAATTCAGAGGCACATTCCAGCCTGTTCTATAACATGTCCCCCCCACTGGAGGCAGATTCCCTTGATTGTGAATCTAATTCGAATTGGGACAGGGAGGGGACAGGAGAGCAATTTCTTCATGAAACTCCTGCTAGGAGCGAAGCTCTGTGCCAGGCACTGTTGTGCATTATGCATTACTTCACTTTATCTCACAGCAATTGTACAAGGCGATGTTCCTGGTAATTATTCAGATGGCCTGGCTTTGCATCCTGGCTCCATCCCTTACTGACAGTTGACCTTGGGCAATTTTCCTAGCCTCCCTGTGCTTCTGATTCCTCATCTGTAAAATGGGGCTAATAATAATATCTACTTCATCAGGGTGTGGTGATAAGTAATAATTCAAGTAATCCGTGTAAAGTATTTGTAGAACACTTAGCAAGGAGAGCTAGACACTGAAAGCAGTTAGTAAGTGTTAGCGATCATTATTCATAGGAAGCTGAGGCTCAGAGAGGTTTCAGTACTTTCTGGAAGCTACTCAGCTACAGTGTCAGAACGAAGCAATGCATCCGTTTGCCTCCAAACCCTGTTGCACTAAATCAGCATTTCCCTAAGTGGGTTCCACGGGATGCTAGTCTGCATGATGCTTAGCGAACAGGGGGTTCCATGGTTAAATACGTTTGGGAAATGCTGTGTACTCTTTGCCCCTTTCGGAGAGTCGAAAAGCACATTAGCGTTAGCACGTGAACGAGCCGAGCAGTCCTGTAGCAAAGTGGCCTATTTAACTTTGTTTAATCCAGCATTTCCCAAACTCATTTGACCACAAAACCTTTTTTTGTTTGTTTTTGTTTCTTGTTTTTTACCTAACACCTATCAGCACCCAGCGGGACACACTGTGGGAAATGCCACCCTAAGCCGCTCGGCGTCCCCCGGAATGGTAATACTTTTGTTCTTTTACGGGGAAAACGATGATCTCTTTTTCCTCCTGCGGCATGTGACTCAGAACCAGGTGTGGGAGTGGCTTGTTCATGGCCTCTGCACCCACCCCTGGGGCAGAGCGCAGTTGCAAACGTCTTCCTTTCGAGCCCAGCACCTTCCTTCCTTTTCCCAGCAACGAGCCTTTCTCCTTCCAGCCCCCTCGTAATATTAATGACCCTCTCCCCGCCATGCCTGCTTCCACCTCCTCACTATTCCCACCTTTTATTCTCATCTCTGCTCTGCTGATACTACTCAGCTGCCCCAGCCTATCGCAGAAAAAGAGGACTCAGCCAAAGGTAGAGAACTGGCCACGTGACCTTGGACAAGTCACCAAACCTCCCGACTTGAGTATGATGTTCATCTGTACAGTGGGGAGATCGCCACCTGCCTATCTCACCCAGATCTAGTTGATCTCTTAGTGTGGTAATGGATTTGAAAAGTACCAGGAACTCTGCCAAAGAAGGTACCACCGTTATCCCCCGCGGCTCCAGTTCCTCTAGGAGTGAGCTGGTCCCTGTGTATTTTGCCCTCCCCGGCCAGCTGAGAATGCCTTGACTGAAAGTCCACCAAGGTCACCCTTGAGTTTATTCGGACGGGAAGCCAGATGAGATGACCACACACGCTCAGCCGCCCACTCACTCGTACTGTCCCTGTCCTTGCCCGCAGGTGAAGTGTGTGCGATACTGGCCGGATGACATGGAGGTCTACGGAGACATTAAAGTCACCCTGATCGAAACAGAGCCCCTGGCAGAGTATATCATCCGCACCTTCACGGTCCAGAAGGTAAGCTTCCCTGCGGCTGTGTGCAGCCTGCCCTCCAGGCAAGCCGGCTTGTTTGTTCATCGAGGACATGGCAGCGACCAAGGGGCTGCTCTGTACCCACCCTGCACCAATGAGAGATCGGCAATCAGCTTGGACGTGGACCCTGCTCCAAAGGACCCCGCGTCTAGCAGGAGGGACAGATAGAATTCGCCAGACAAATAGCATAATGACATATGGTAATAAAAGCCACAGAGGAAACATGCCAAGCGGGGGAGACAGAAATCCACGGGAGGATGGGGTGATCAGAGAGGACCTCCAGGAGGAGGAGGCATTTAAGCAGACAGTGAAGGATGAGAAAGAGCCAGCCAAGGGAAGAGCAGGAGGAATATTATCCCAGGAAGAGGGAAAGAACCATGCAGAGTCTGTAGGGGAAAGAAGATCTTGACATGTTCTAGGCCTGTTGTTCTCAGCTGGGGGTGACTGCCCCACAGGGACATTTACCAGTGTCTGGAAACAGTTGTCAAAACCATAGCTGCCATTTTCTAAAAGTAACATCATTAATGAACCAAGTGGCCACAGGCCTGAGGATGCAAAAACACCAGGGACTTCAGTGCTCTGAGCACTGTGCCCTTGGGGATTGACAGGTCCTTGTGAGTGCCAAAGCAGGCACATGCATGGTGCCCTTCCTGCATGCACGGTGCTGGCAGGACACACTGTTTGCTCCCAACACTGCCCCCTGCAACCCCTGGGCTCCTAAAGGCCTATATCTGCAGACTCAGATGAAGAGCCAGGAGGGAAGGACGCCCCTCAGCTACAAGTTACATTGCTGTGATCTTAGGCTGGGTTCCTTAGAAGCAGGGCCTGAGACAAGGTTTCCCTTATACGTGGTGTATCAAGGGAGCGCTCCCAGAGAAACTTGTAAGACAGCAAGAGAAGCTGGAGAGGAAAGAGGAAGGGGCAGGGCAAGTTCAGAGTCTCTGGCAAAGTCTAGCCTAGGCCTGACCCATGGGGGCCTCTGGAGCGTAAACACACCGCAGAGGTGCCCCCTTGCTTTACTCAGTCCACTGCCTGACTGCGGACCAGCCACTGCGGGGTAACCTCCAGGGTGGGCCAGCTCCTGTCGGCTGAGGGCACTTCTCCAGAAAAGGGCACATGTGTGAGTCACTAGCAGCCAGCGCTCCTGCAGTTGAGGCCTGGAACATAGCCCCACGAACACCAGTCTCAACTACCATACTTGGCGGTTGGTGCTGGGCATGAGCTGGGTGACTGGGGACCCAGACTCTGAGCCAAGGGGAGGCCTTGGGGAACTGCAGCCCACCCAGTGTGTTGAGGAGTCGTAGTCGTTTCTTAGGCTGTCTTTTTGCCTTTCTTTCAATCACCAGGGAAGCTATTACCCATAGGAAGACACCCTTCAAGGTCTCCAAGGGCCTCGGAGGATTAACTCAACTTAGCCAGCCTCTCCACAGGTGCTCAGCGAACACTGCCTGGGTTATCAGCTCAGAATCAGTTCCTGGGGACCCAGAAATAATAAACAGGAAGCATTGTGTGTCCCTTGAAGAGAACACAGTCCCACCAGGAAGAGAGGACCCTTGATAAACAGTTGCAGTGCAGGTGGTGTGGGCTTGAATGAGGGCTTCCAGGGGCTGAGCTGATTTGGAGGGTGGGGTGAAAAACTCTGAGTATTCTCGAAGCTGTTTTATCTTCTACTTCAGTTCTTCTGTCAGAGCTTTAACCCCAGCCTTTGTTCACTCCTGCCCAGACCCTGCAGCTGCCTCCTGACGGGGCTTCTGCCTCTAGTCTTGCCCCCAGTCTTAGTTTAGGTTTCTAGGAAGCAGAGCCTGAGGCATGGATTTGGGTGCCCTTGATGATGTGTTGAGGAAGAACCCAGGGGAGACGGGGGGTGAGGGAGGCAGTACAGGGCGGGGAAGGAGCTGAGCAAGGATGTGGCCTGGTCCCACAGGGAGATCTGGGGCATGAGTGACATCACAGAGTAGGGTTCTTTGGCACATCCATGAGAGTAACCCATTATCCTGGTTTGCCCAGGACCACCCTGGCTTTAGCACTGAAAATCCCATGTCCTGGGAAACCCCTCAGCCCTGGGCAAACTGACAAAATCGGTTGGTCACTGAATGCCAGCTGCCCATCCCCCGCTCCCAAAGGAGGTGGTTCCTGTTCAGCTGAGAGCAACTCTCTGAAGAAGGGGTAATTTTTAGCTGTCCACAGCCAAGGTCAGGGTAGCTGGGGATGGGGGCACTGGCCCAGGAAAGGGGACCTGGCGCCCTCTACACAGCCCACCAACACCCCCCCCCAATCCTTCCTCCACGTAGTGGCTAGTGTGATCCTTCCAAGATGCCCATCTGGTGATGCGTTTCCTCTTCTGTGCAACTATCTGGGCAGCCTCCCTATAGCTCCCCGATGACTCTGGGATAAAACCCAAAGGCCTTAAAGTGGGATACAAAGCCTTGCAGCATTCAGTACCCGCCCAGCCTCCCCCCACCCCCCACCCCCGGCCCATCCCGCTGGCTGTCCGTCATTGCCTGTCTTCCACTCTTCTCTGGAATTGCCCTGGGCTGTTTGTGATTCTTTTCACGTACTGTGCTAAGTCCTGTCCCCAGGCCTTTGCCCCAACTGCCTCTCTGCCTAGGAATCCCTCCATCCTTCCACTGGGTAATACTTAGCCTCAGTGTATCATACGATTAGGAGGACAGACTGTGGAGCCACACAGCTAGGCTTTAGACTGTAACTTTACAACTTACTAGTTGTGTGACCTTGGGCATGTTCCTTAGCCTTGCTTAGCCTCACTTTCCTCATCCCTAAAATGGAGATGATAATATGAGGATTGATATGGGATTAAATTAATTAATACATTGAAGAAGTCAGAAGAGTGACAGGCACATAGTCGATGCTTAATAAACGTTAGCTGTGATTTTCATTATTAATATGTTTCAAGACTCAGGTCAGGCATCCCCTCCTTCAGGAAGCCTTCTCTGATTTCTCCTCTCCCTAATGGGATTAGCTGACACTCCTTTATGCACTTTAATGGAATTAAAGGTCCACTTAGGGGCCTGCCTCCCCCACTGGACCATGAGCTGTTCCAGGGACAGGGACTTGGCCTTTATTTCCACCTTCCTAGTGCCTAGCACAAGGCTAGGCACAGGTAACCCTCGGTGAATATCTTTTAACTGAAAAAATGAACCATCGAACACTCTTCCTATTCAGCGCCTCTAACATCTGCAGGAGATTGCTAGGTAGAGAAAGGTAGGTAGGGGCAGTGCCTAAGCAAAGGCTCAGGGGCATAACCTGACCATAGACTAGTCAAGAACTGCCATTTGGCCTGGAGCATGTCTATGTGGAGGGTGCGGGGAGGGGAAGGGGAACGATGGGAGCTCCAGGCCCCACCACCCCCGTCAGTCAGAGAAGCTCTGCTTTTGTTTGTTTCATATTTTATCATTCTAAATGAGAATCTAATTAATAAAGAAGTCTGCCTTTTTAATTTTGAAAGTCCTGGAGAGTATCATAGACCAGACTGGAGAACTGAAGGACACCAGTCCTCAATCAGTGAAAGGCCTTGTATTCCCCTGGAAACAACTCGAACTTGGAGTTGAAGTCTAACATCTTTCTGAATCTGTTCTGCTGAATATAAGTCCTATAAAACACTTATCAAAAGAGGGTCCCCTGGGCCAAACAGTGTGAATGTTATAAGCCCCCTTGGGAATTCAGCGTGTATGTTAGCACAGTAAAGGCTCTGAGAAGTCCTGCAGTAGAGCCATCAGTTTCACTTTATTTACTTCCGAAGTTCCCAGATGTAAGAGATGCAGAATCACTCTGCACAGTAGTACCTATTAACCCTTTGAGGGCCTTGCCCTCCCTGACAGCAGGGAAGCTGGACCCTCAGTGCTCACGGCCTCGTGGCTCCCCATGGGTGCTGGGCAGGGTGGCTGGGGGCAGCAGCTGGAGGAACAGAGGGCCGTTCTCTCCTCAGAAAGGCTACCATGAGATCCGGGAGCTCCGCCTCTTCCACTTCACCAGCTGGCCCGACCACGGCGTCCCCTGCTATGCCACCGGCCTCCTCGGCTTTGTCCGCCAGGTCAAGTTCCTCAATCCACCGGAAGCTGGGCCCATAGTGGTCCACTGCAGGTAAGTGAAAGGCCCCGCCCTAAACAAGGAGGCCTTTGCAGCTCTGCTCTCTCGGTGAGGGGGGTACTCTCTTGTCCAGTGGCCTTTATTCTTTGCCTGTGTCCCCTCTTCCCAGCCCTTTCTGATGAGACCAGGGTCCTAAGTCTAACAACAATAATACTAATAGTAGCAGTAGCAGTTGTTATTATTGCTGTTGCCCTGAAACAGTAAAGACCCTGAGGACGTGGGCTTGGCACTGACAGCGTCTGCTACACATGCACTTCACCCGCATTACTTCATTTACTTCTCACCCAACCTTGAGAGGTGGCCATTATTGTCATTCCCATTTTACAGATGAGAAAACCGAGGCGCTAAGAAGGTAGATACTGTGCTCAGGTCACACAGGTGTGAAATGGCAGAGCCAGGATATTTAACATGATTTTCTCCAGACGCTCGCCCTTGGCATGGCGGCAGGGTGCCCCCGTGGAAGTGTGCTTCTCTTCATTTCTCTTATTTTAAAAATCAATTGCTGGCCTGCGGGGTCCTTTGTAGAGAGTAAATGGACAGTGTCAGGTTTTAGCTTATTATGGAGAAGGGATATTTTCAGCTCTGACCCAGAAAGCCACATTGGGAGTGATGGGCACATGTTGGAATCCTCCTAAACGGAGATGAAGTATCATGTCAAGGGCATTAGGAATTGGAGGAGGGCGGATGTCCAGACCTGAAGGCCAACTAGCATGCTCGCTTCCTCCCCAGCCAGCGCCTCTCTTTTCCATTGTGACCTTGGGCCCGGTCCATCTTTTCAGACCCCGCATGCTCTTAACTGCATGCAGGTTATCTCTGCCCTGGCAGTGTCCACATCAGGCAAGGTCTTGAGCCAAGTCAAGGAGAGACACCATAAGCTGTAGGTGTCTCAGAGCCACCCCTTTCTCACACAGCACCCGTTTCCCTTCGCCACAACAGCGAGGTGTGAATTAGAAACCCCATTTCACAGATGAGCCCATTGAAGGTTAGGAGGCCATACTGATCACCCCATAGGCTCTCTAAGCATTCCGCATATAGTCTCTGCTTTACATCTCATGGCAATTCGAGGACAACAAAATGTTCACCCCGAGTCCCATATCCCAAAGAGCAGCCAGAGCAGGGGTAAGGAAGAAAGGGAGATAATGGCAAGCATTTATCAGGCCCTCCTTGCGTGATGCCCCTATGTCTGTGTCTCCATACCAAGTCACCCTGACACACCTAAGCAGAGTGCTACCCCCTCCTGAGGCTGTCCTGAAGATTAAATGGGTTGGCCAACATATAGTAGGTTCCTAAGAGAATTCCAGACATATAGTAAGCACTTAAAAAATATTATATACTATTCTCTGCCTCTCGATGCTGTCCCCCTCCCCAGACTGTTAATCCTTCAGGACAGGAACCATGTCTGACTTATCTTCACATCCCCACTCCCGAGCCCAGCATCTAGTGCTCAGTAAATATGTGGTGACTACAGGTAGCAAACATTTATAATAGATGGCTGTGTAACCAGGCACGGGGCTAAGCAATTTACGCGCATTGTGCTTTTTCCGCGTAATTTCATGCAGTTCACGTGTACTGTGCTATTAATGCTATTGTCATCAGCCTCATTTTATGGAAGAGGGTATTGAAACCCAGAGAGATTGAGTCATTCACCCAAGGTCACACAGCTAGTCAGTGGTCGAGCCAGGGTTTGGTCCCAGGGGTCTGACCCCAAATAGCATGTGCTTCATTGCTCTGTGAGGCTGAAATAAACGGATCGATCCTCCCAAGAACCCTGTAGGGAAGAGTGTCGTGTGTGAGAAAACTGAGGCTCACAGACACCAGGCAGCTTGTCCACTAGTGGTGGATCCAAGATTCAGAATCAAGTCGGGCTGCTTCTTTCTCCTAAAACAGGTCGAGGAGGAGACTTGGGAGAAGACGTGGATGAGTGGCTCTTTGGGTTCCCTCCTAGACCCCGAGGCCCAGCCTGCTTGGGGGTCCCTTCTGGGGGTTTTGATTTGGGGGGAGGCATTCTGGGGCAAGTACAAGGCAGATTTTACTCAATTCAAACCATGAAATTTTACCAAGATCAAAGACTTTCCAGATTATGGAGGATGGATTTCCAAGGGTTTACTCTCCAGACCATTGTGGGTGTCGGTTCACTGGCCTGCCCTCCTTGGATTTATGGTCATTCAATATTGCTTTCTTTCCTGGTCCATTGCCCTTCCTCTTTTCGTTTCCTTTTATTTTCGCATTGTCAAGCAAAGACACTTGTTTCCATGAGGGAAATGAAATGTGAAAACGCAGTGGAGATGGGCCTCCTGGCAGTCTGGCCTTCACTTCCAAAGCTATATGCATTTAAAGCAAATGCCCTATTTGTCTCTCGTTCAGTGCTATGATTTTGGAACCCACTGATCTGGGAAGGTCTGGCCATGGCCCATGGGGTCTCATTGAGTTCTTTTGCTATTTTGTACTTGGCCTGAGATTTTCTGAAAAGAAGCCACCAGTGGTCAGAATCGAGTATGTGTCAGGGGGCCTTGATTCTGGAGTCGGGTCTCAGGACTGTCGGCTGCTCTGGTTTACTGATGCTGCTGCCTCACGATCCTGGAAAAGCAGGTGCACGTGGAGACAAACCCAAGGCTTTGGACATGGTGCTCAGGACTCACTCTCTGTGAGTCTGTTGGGACAGCTCAGAGGACCTGGTTTCTGCCGTCTCAGTTACCTCCTCTGATCTCTCTTGTCTCTCCCTCCTTGCTTCCATCCATTAACCCGTTCACTGAAGAAGACAGAAGGAAGGGAGAGATGGAGGGAGGGAAGTGGGGTGGGGAAGACATGTTTCTAGGCATTTCCAGTGTGCCCAGCATATGTAGATGGATTATCTTTACCCATCAGATGAGCAAACTGCATGCATCCGTGTTGTCTAAGCGTACATTATCTTATTAAGAGAGGAAGTGTAGGAGCACACGCTGTGGAGCCAGACTGCCTGGGGAAAAGTCCCAGCTCCACCACTTGCCAGCTGTGTGACCTTGGGCAAGGTCAGCACCCTGTGCCTTAGTTTTCTCACTGTGTAACAGGGTGAGAAACTTCCTAACAGCCTCATAAGAGAATGAATAGGTAGCACTGCAGAAGCAGTTAGAACAATGTCTGGAACGTTGTCACGGCTAAATAAGTGTTCGTTACATGAGCACAACAAAAATAAGCCAGTCCTGATAAAATAGCCCCCAAAGGCAAGCATTTCTCTCCCATTTTACAAAAGAGAGGACTGAGGTTCTAAGTTTAGCCACTAGCTTAGGATCTCCTGGCAGGACTGGCGTTCAGACCTCTGCAGTGTAGTGCCTCTCTGCAGGGTCCTCGGGGACGGGGCTGAATGGGAGGGGCCTCCCCAGGGCTGCTCCCACCCCAAGGTCCCTAACATGGACCACCGTCCTCTCTTCCAGTGCTGGTGCCGGGAGGACTGGCTGCTTCATCGCCATCGACACCATGCTTGACATGGCCGAGAACGAAGGGGTGGTGGACATCTTCAACTGCGTGCGTGAGCTCCGGGCCCAGAGGGTCAACCTGGTACAGACGGAGGTGAGTCCTGGGGTGTCATTTGGCAAGCCACCTGCAGCCCTGGCCAAGGAGGAGCATGGTGGAACAGAAAGGCCCACAGGTGGAGGCATCCTACAGAAAGAGACCTGGGCATGGGAGAAATGGGAGGGAATGGATACATGGCTTGCTATGGTGAGATCATCGTAGAAGCTAGGATGCCCCTGCCAACCCTGAGGTCCCCCAGTGCAAGGACTCCTACCGGGGAGGAATGGTGCTGTGTGTCCCATCTCTGAAGGCATCTAAGTACCAACTGAATGGCAACTTTCAGGTATTCTTTGAATGGTGTTCTTGCCTTGGGTGAAGGAGAAGAGAGAGATAGGGAAGGATTGGCATTGATTGAATGCCTACTGTGTGCCAAGCATCGCTTTAGGCACTGCAGGAATGGCTTACTCAGTGAAGTTACTGAGTTCCTGAGCTAGGCGCAGGGGATTCCAAGAGAGATAACTCATAACTCCTGGCCTCAAGTGAGAAGCAGACCTCCAGGCACTGCTCTGTCCACCTGGAGAGCCCAAGATCCGAGGGACATGGGAGGGGTTCATCTTTATTGAGTACCTACTATGTGCCAGGCGTCACTCCAGGCCTTTTGTATTCAGGGTATTGTTTCTACTCCTTACAACAACCCTATGGGGCAGCTCCTGCTGGTGCCCCCATTTTATAGATGAGGAAGCTGAGAAATGGTGTCCCCAAAGCCTCATATAGTCAAACAGTGGTAGAACTTGGGTCCAGGTGACCCCATGTCCCACGTGCTTTCCCCTGAACCACACTGTCTCACGAGGAAGCCTTTTCTGCCTCTCCTACGTCTGGAAACCATGGTTTGCTACTCCTATAACGAGCCCATCTTCTGGTTCTAGTGAGGCTGTAGGTGCCCGGGCAGCAGAGCTGGGGCAGATAAGGAGCTGCATCCATCATCAACCCTGCAAAGAGATATCACCCAAGGCTTTGGGCCTGGCCAGTCACTGCGGGCTCTGCAGGCAGTTCCCTCACTTACAGGCTCACACACCTAGACCCTGCTCCAGGCTCCAAGCCAACTCCCACAGGCCGGTCTGCAGGCTTCTTGGTGAGGCTGCTAAAGCTGAGAGGCTGCCTTGTCTGTTCCTGGGTTCATGCATGTGGAAGGCAGGCACACTGCCTGGCGTTATGCACATCGTGGTCCTTGCTCTCTGGTGGGGGAGATAGGCGTTCAAATAGATCACCACAGTGCCTCTAGATAAACATTTTATATAAAGAGATGGGCCAAGTTCTGCAGGAGAATGGTCGCTCAACAAACGTTTGTTAATGAGCGACTAGAACAGCAACAACTCCTGCCTGGTGGATTTGGAGAAGACTCTCCCAAGGGAATGAGACACTGAAGGTGTGTGGGGGGGGGATGGTGTCCAGGATGAGAGTGGCAAAGAGCTGGGATGGTGGAGGGGGTGATGCACGCTTCAGGAACAGCCCGAGACAAGGAGTTGAGGGCAAGTGGTTTCCTTGGTTGGAACAAATGGCTGTGTCCCAAGACACACTGGTTGGCAAGTGGGGAAATGAGAGAGGGGACGGAAGGAAGTCAAGCCTGTCGACACTGTGAAAGTATTTTATAGGCTGTTTGACACAGTGGACGGCTGGAGCCCAGCCCCTGCCGGGGGAGCTCTGAGATGGTGTGGAGTGTCTCTTCCAAATTTCCCACCCAAGAGAGGGAACGTAGGCATTTATCCCCAGGTCTCCATCTGGCATTGCTTGAGGCCTCCTTCCCACGGCATTAACTCTTTGGCCCTGCTGGGGATAAAGGCCCTCAGCCTGAATCTCGGGGATTTGCAGTAAGCAGCCTTCAGCAGTGAAAGGCGAAAGCTGACGGGCCATGGGCAGGACACCACGGGCACCTGCTACCACATGTCCAGGAGTTTCTAATTTTTATCCGTGACTCTGCTGTTCAGTCTTACACAGGGAACAAAATTCAGCACAGCTCAGACAGTCACCAAGAAACACGGCCACTCAGCCCTTCGGGTTATAGGATAGAAAGCAGTGATTCTGCAACGTGAATCATGCCCATCCTTCATAGGCACATGCTGAAATGTGGACAAGAAACTCCTGGGCCACCCTTCTTACCCAGTACCCTGTTCCCTCTCGCCTCGGCTTTGCAGGAGCAGTATGTGTTTGTGCACGACGCCATCCTGGAAGCGTGTCTCTGCGGCAACACGGCCATCCCGGTATGCGAGTTCCGCTCTCTCTACTACAATATCAGCAGGCTGGACCCCCAGACCAACTCCAGCCAAATCAAAGACGAATTTCAGGTACGAGCACATCCCAGGCTTCATGACCCAGCCAACTTCAGTGCCACTGAGCACAGCCCTGGGGCTTTCCTTGCAAGAATGGCTATGTATATATCCTTCCAGTGTCTGCATCTCCAGACAGCTGAGAAGGAATTCCAGAACAAAACGCCCGCCATGAGCAACTGCTCACCAATCAGTGATTGCTGACACTTGTTTTTTTTAACTATGAATATGTTTTGGAACTGAGGTCTTATTTAATTCTAGTCCAGGTTGTATGCGGAGACAAGTTTATAGACACAAGTGTGAATTTCAAGCTCCTCGATCCCTGCAGGGACCCAGGTCTTCTCAATATTTCTGTACAATTGGAGTGTGTCCTAGATCCTCACAATTCAAGGTGGGGTCTCGAGACCAGCAGCATTGGCTTCACCTGGGAGCTTGTTAGATGTGCAGAATCTTGGGTCCCACCGGACCTACTGAATGAGAGCCTGTGATTTAACAGTATCTCCGGGTGATTTAAATGCACATTAAACTCCGAGAAGCATCACCTGAGGGCACAGCTCGGGCAGAACAGATCTGCCCCCTTGGAGCCCATGTAGCCAGAATGGTGGCAGCTTTGGTCTGGAGGCCTGGACTTGAATCACTGAGTAAGGCAAAACCAGAGTCCAGCCCATTGTCCTGAGGTCAGTGCCAGGGTCATATTTTGGGCAACAGGAGCTGTGAACAGGCAGGAGGAAGCAAAGAAGCTTCAGGACCAGAAGGGCCAATGCAGGTCCATGGTTCCACGGGCAGATACCCCAGCCAGGTCAATGGCTTAGTCCTCCTTCAAACAAATAGACTTTATTGATTCGGAGTAGAGAGCAAGGGCTGAATGGGGGAAGGATGGAGGACACGGACCCCTGGTGGTTGCACGTAGCATCTAGTCTGTTGGCTGGGGCAGTTCAGCTCTAGCCCCACACTTGCAAGACTTACTCTGCAGAACACAAGCCCTGAATTTTTCAGACAAACTAGAGCTTGCTCTCTGGGGGTCTCTCACTCATCCTGGGCGTCTCATCCAAGCATCCTTCCTTCCATTCTCAAACAGCTTTCTCTCTGAGAGGCACGCTGCTAAAATCATTTCTCTCATTCCGTGGCACTTCAAGTGATATTTAAAAGTCATTAGGGATTCCCTGCCCCCACCCCCCACCTTATGACCTCCTGGCTGGCCACCATTTCATGCAGGATGGCTGAGAGGAGTAACTCAGCTCAGATGATTGGCAGGTGTTCAGAGCCTGTGTCTGAGCCCGCATGAGTGTGTGCCGTCCCTGCAGCCTTGGCCCTGTGGTGGTGTCCCTCAGCCCCTGGCAGAGGCCCTCAGCCCCCAGGGCCTGGAGCAGCCAGCAGGAGATGATAGAACGCCACCACGGAAGAGAAGAGTCCTGGGAAAAGGACTGGAGGGACAGGCTTGGAGGATGAAGGGAGTTTGAACATTGCTGCCTCCTCTGTTCAGGGCAACCATCTAAGCAGTACCTGCCTATCTGCCCTTGACCCCATAGACCCTCAACATCGTGACTCCTCGCGTCCGGCCCGAGGACTGCAGCATCGGTCTCCTGCCCCGGAACCATGATAAGAATCGGAGCATGGATGTCCTGCCTCTGGACCGCTGCCTGCCCTTCCTCATCTCGGTGGATGGAGAATCCAGCAACTACATCAATGCGGCACTGATGGATGTAAGCGGAGCCCTGCCAAGAAAAGCTCCTGGCTGGCATTCCAGGGAAAAGCTTCTTCCCAAGGGGGAGGTGGCTGGAGCCCAGGGCCTTGACATCCCCCTGCCCAAGCCAGCCTCTCCTTCTGATCTTTTTGGCCCACAAGACCTTTCTCCCCCTGAAGGCTCTGATCCAGACCTATATAGAAGCTGTGCTTTTAGCTCTTTTGCTCCCATAAAGGTCTGAAAGAATAAACCAAAAGCTTAAAGTGGGTCCCCTGACACCACAGTGAGGCTACAGGCCTGACCAGTCCCCCTTCCTGCTATGTACAGAGCTGACTCTCAGCCTTAAGTTCAGTTCAGGAAACATTCTACATGCCAGCCATGTTCCTACTGTTCTCTCAGGGGCACCGTCTCCTGCTTTCTCAGCATCAAGTCCAAGAAGCGCACACCTCCTTTGACCTGGTTTGGGATTAGGGGGTCATGTTCCTACCCCAGGGGGTCCATGCTCCTGACTTGTATGCTTCTGCCCTGGGTCCTCCAGCTACTGCCAGGTATCATCCCTCCACTTCCAGGATGTGAGATGTTTGCAGCTGGAAGGAACCGTGCATCATCCAGTCTCATCCATGCACTTCCCTGCAAAGGAAACTGAGGCCAGAGAAAGAGACTCACTCAAAGATACCCAGAGAGCTAGTGACTTACTCTAGAATTTATTCCTTGAGCCTCCCCTCAGTTTACTTGATTCAGTAAGATGCAGACATCTTTCCTCCCAAGACTCGGGACCAAGAACACCATTGCTTGACTGGGGAAGAGCCCTTCCAGGTCCCTCTCCCCAACTATACCCGAAGGTCAAGTCCATCCAGCCCACATGAACCTCCCATCTTACCTGGAACAGGAAGGAACATGGGGTACTGTCCGCTGGGGTCAAGGCCAACTACCTCTCTGACCACTAATCCTCTTGAAATTTATCCCCAAGCATCCTAAGTGTTTGTTAGAGGCAGAGGGGTGACAGGAAGTCAATGCTGACAGGAAGTCAGTGCCTATCTCAGCTTTGTGGGCGCCTGCCCTGGCCTCTGCCCATAGGGTGCCCAAGTCCTCCATGGAAACCCTGGCTCTGGGTCCGGAAGCAGGGAGTCTTGTCCTGGTCAGATCAAATAGCTGGATGTGGAGGGAAGACTGCAGGCTTTAGCCTGGAGTCTTCCAATGTCATTATGTGCACGTATGCATGTGTGTGTGTATGTGTGCGTGCGTGCGTGCACACACACGTGTGTGGTGAGAGATGGGGCCTGGGGTTGCACCCACACTTCCAAGTTCCTTCCATTGTCGTCTCCCCCTTGTCCCAACTCCCCCTCCTTTCCTTCCTCATCCAAGGATCAGATACGCTCCTGGCCTCCGCTTAGTATATTAGATGCTGCCTAGAGTCAAATGCCTTCTGCCAAACTCTGATGCTGACTGTGTTTTTTTGTTTTTTTTTTTTTCTGACTGTATTCTCTTTGTCCACAGGGCATTTCTCCTGTGAGCCATCACCGGGGTCTTTGCTTTTCTTATTTAAAAAAAAAAAGGTCCTTATCTGTATTCCAGCTCGGTTTCGGCATTATCTGGTAACCATGGCAGCTTTGCTGCTAGCAGAAAAATATGAAGTCCTCTGGGTTAATTTTTAATGTTTCCCTTGGTAAAGGACGATGTTATCCATGAAATGGATTGCCAGCTGATCCCTGAAACCCGGCAGGAGCACAGATCTCGAGCATATTTTCAGATAAGGCTTTGTCAGGTATGCTGGCCTAATAGAGCATTTATCACAGAGACAGGGAAAATGGAAAGAAAACTAACATTCACTGAGTGTTGGGCAGTATGTCAGATCCTGAACATAGACTGTCTCATTCTGCATTTGGATATGATTATTCCCTTTTTCTGGATGAGGTACTGAGGGTCAGAGAATTTCCATGACTGTCTCGAGGTCAACGCTCTCAGAAAGGGTGGAGCCAGGGTCTGAACCCTAAGTCTTTTGACTCTTAAAGCCTAGATTTTTTTCCATGTCTGGAAATGTCTGCAGACCAGCTTCTGCCACTAGAGTTTGGCTTTTGGGGGAACTCAACATTCTGTTCTCCTAGATTCTTCCTCTGACCATTCCACTGGCAGGAGAAGACCCTTCGAAGACAAGACCCCCTAGTGCATCTGTGGCATCCATGGTTGCAAGGCATTTTCTTTGCCATCAGGACACCAAGAAATAAAAGAGCAATGGCAGGTGCTTTAGGTATTCTATTTGGCAGAGTCTTTTGCCAGAGACGTTTCCTGGTTTGAATGGGCAAACTCTTTTTCCCTCCCCATCCTTCTGCTGCCCTGTGACTCCACCGGAAACAGGCATGAACAGTCACTCAAGAAAACTTGTTGAGAATATGAGTCATTTCTCAGGTTTTACAAACCACTGATGAAGCGGAGATGCTCCCCAATCTTTCCAAATACCTTCTCACAGGTACTATAATAAATAGCACCCAGTTGAAGCTTCAGATGTAGTCCAGACTCACACAGCCCATTTTCTCTGGGCCTCAGTTCCCCACCTGTAACGTGGGACTGAGTTTATTCAGTTGTTTGCTGGACCTGTACTGGGCGTCTAGTGTGCCGGCCATGATGCTAGTGCCAAGGATGAAGAACCGAGTCAGGGATGGTCCCGCCCTGCCAGCGGGCTCACAGCTGGGTTCTTGCTTGCTGCACTTTCCACGTGCATATCTTTTCAATCTGTACCACAGCCATCCCTTTGGAGTTATGAATCCCATCTTCCAGCTGAAGAACCTGAGATTTGGAGAGATCTAATAACTTTCCAGTGCTCAGCACTGATTTAAAAAAATTCACTCTATAAATGAGCTTGAATGAATGAATGAATGAATGAATGATTGGGTGGATAGATGGATGGATGGATGGATGAATGACTTATAACGTACAACTGGCAAAGCTGGGTTTGAACCCAGGTCTGCCTGACTCTAAAACCTGAGCACCTTCACTGCCCCATTGGCTCACAGGACACAGTGCCCACCTTCTGCCAGACCAGCTCAGCCCACATTCCAGCCTTGGGGCAGGAGTGAACCTCTTGCACTATGAGCCCCTTCAGGAGGCTCTCTGCCTCGGGCTGAGCCAACCCGTCCTCCATCATTGTGGGCACAGGGACACAAAATATCCCTTTTATCCCAAGAGGTGCCTTGGCCGGCAGAGCAGCAAATCTGCATCCAGAATCTTCCATTTCATATTGTAATGAGGATTGTTTGCTGAGCTCCAAGTCATAAATAATTTATTGGATAATCCCCATCCGAGTGACACCTTCCTAATGAAATGTCTTAGTCTGGAGGAGAATGAGTTCATTATGAGAAGGTCCCCTTTGCCACCAGGGCACCCTGAGATAAGAACGGGCAGTTGCTTTGTGTAATCTACTTGGCAGACCCAGGGGGCCTCTGGCACCAACTCGTCATTATCAGAACATCGCTGATGGGTGTGTATTTCATGAAGCCTGTGTCATTCTTTCGTCAGAGCCACAAGCAGCCTGCCGCGTTCGTGGTCACACAACATCCTCTACCCAACACCGTGGCGGACTTCTGGAGGCTGGTGTTCGATTATAACTGCTCCTCTGTGGTGATGCTGAATGAGCTGGACACTGCCCAGGTAGGAGGAGGCCTGGCCCAGCCCTAGGTGCTCAGGTGTGTTCGAGCAACCGTGCCCAAGAGTTGGAGGGACAGCCCTCTGCTGCCTCTGCCCAACCCAGCTGCCCTCTGGTGGGCACTGTCTGCCAGTGAGCACCAAGCCAAGCCCATTCAGCTTCCAGCTGAGGCCAGGGAGTCCCCTGCCAGGCCCTGCCACCCCCCCACCCCCGGCCCTCCCAGTTCCAGCAATGACTCCCCCTGTCTATGAGCTTCATCCAGCTCCCTCACTGCCCAGGACCAGAGTCTGTTGCTCCATCCCCCAGACACTGGTGAGGGTATTGCTCCTAATCATGCAGAGCTCACGGAGGAGGCCCCTCCCCCAGCTCTGAGCATCTCCAGCCGTGCAGCACAGCCTCACAGCCTGATACCCGGCCACGCGCAGCCACTCTCCCCGCTCCGTGATGCAGCCAGACTAACAGAGCCTGGGGCTTGAACCACTGACCCCTTGCCCACTGATCACCCCGCCGAGGCCTGGCTTTACCACAGGTGACCCTTGTGTCCCAGCAGGCCGTGCCTTAGCTACTCTGCATGTGACATTTCCAAGCATCACGTGCCTACAGCACATTGGTCAGGCCACAGGACACGTGTCATGGGGCAGCTGCTGGGGCTCACACCCCTGTGGCAGGGCAGCTGTTCCTGGGTGGAGGCGGTGATGATGGCCTTGTACGGTTTTGGAAAGCCATCCCATCACTGTCTCGAAGGAAACCCAGAGTAACTCAGAGGATTCCCTTGTGAGCACTGGCCTTGGGCAGGCCTTGTGTGGGAAGAAGAAAAATGGGTCTGAGCTGTAGCCTCAGCCCTCCAGGAGCTCACACTCCTGCTACAGAGACAGATGAGCAAATTGTCCCCACCTCGTGTGGCAGCACTATAATAGAGGTCAGCCGCAAAGTGCTGTGCTGGCCGGGAACGGAGAGCAATTACTCCTGCCCAGAGGGTGAGGGAAGACTTCAGAAAGGTGACTTTGGCCCGGAAGAAGGCAGCAGAGATCTGGCGTCCGGGGGATGAAGTTGCTGGGTAAGTCTCTCCAGGCAGAGGGAACAGCAGGGGCAAAGGCCCGCGGGGGTCACTGTGTCGGCTCATCTGCAGGAAAGCTTCGGTGGCAGTGGGGCTGGGGGGATGTCAGGAGGAGAAGAGGGTGGTGATGCTGGACGATACAGCTGGGCCAGCTTGCAGAGGGCCGCCCGTGCCGGGCTAAGGGGTTTGGGTCTTGGTCCGCAGTACGGTAAATATCAGACTTTTACTCTTGGAAGCAACAGAATCCTTTCTGGGAATGAAAGCTTTCGTGCAAGCCCAGCCTTTGAAACAGTGAAGCAGGAGGTGGTGGGGTCGGGAGCTCCACCCACGCTAGTCTTTGGGCTCCTCCTGGTGCCCCTTCCTGGGAGAGTCAGCCGCTCTGGGCACTTTGGAGGAACCCCTGATGTTCTAGGAGCGCAGGTAGAAAGCCCTTGCTGTGCAGGGAGGAGAGACACGCGGAGCTGAAGTGGGGGTGTGGCAGAGTCCGAACTCCTGATAGGAAACGGTCTGGTGAAGAATCTGGAAACAGGAGAGAGTGGAGGTCCACAGGTTTAGGGAGCAGTTGGATGTGGGAGGTGAATGAGAAGTCACGGATGGTGACAGGGGTTCTCGTGTGGATAGTCAGGCATCTGGGATGCGACTGGCCAAGGTGGGGAAGGCAGGCGAGGAGTGTGAGAGGCAGCAGGAGGTTTGGGAAGGCAAAGAGAGGAGCAGGTCACAGCTGACCCCTGAACAAAGCGCGAGTCAGGGGCGCCAGGCATCCATGCAGTCAGACGTTCGCTTATAATCTGTAGTCGGCCCTCCATGTACGGGGCGCCTCTGTGTACAAGGCTATTCCGTATTCGCCGTTACTCCGTATCCGCGGTTCCCCCGTATCCGCAATTCTGTGTCCCACGGATTCAACCAACCGCAGATCCTGTAGTATTATATTATTTACTATCGAAAAAAATCTGCATATAAATGGACCCGCACAGTTGAGACCCATGTTGTTCAAGGGTCAACAGGTAGTAGGGCAGGGGTCCGCAACCCTCTGGCCACGGACCCCTGCTAGGGACCAGGCCGCACAGGAGGTGAGTGGCGGGCAGGTCGGCGAGCAAAGCTTCGTCTGCCACCCCCCATCGCTCCCCCCCCCCCCCCCCCCATCGCTCGCATCACCGCCTGAACCGTTCCCCCGCTCCCGGGTCCCTGGAAAAACTGTCTTCCACAAAACCGGCCCCTGGTGCCGAAAAGGTTGGAGACCACTGTAGTAGGGGACAAAATTGAGCGCAACTTGCGATGTGCATGTAGGAGTCGTTCAGGAGAGCGTCTGTTCATTCATTCAGTCCACATTTGTTGAGTAGCCGCTGTTTGCCAGAAGCTGTTCTAGGGTGCTTGGAAATGCATCAGTTAACATGACAGAGAAAGCAAAACAGCAAATTCCCATCTTTTATGCAACTTCTATTCTCAAGCAGGAGAGAAATAAACAGCAAACACTTTGTAACGGACTTAATTATGTGTTAAAGGTGACAAGTGTATGGAAAAAGAAAAATAAGAGGGCAGGGCAGGAAGGCTGGTTTGGGGCACGGGCTGCGCCTGTAATCGAGTGATGAAGGTGGTCTTCATTGAGGTCATATCTGAACGCAGATTTGGAGGAGGTGCAAGAATGCACCACGTGGGCTTCCCTGGTGGCGCAGTGGTTGAGAGCCCACCTGCCGATGCAGGGGACACGGGTTCGTGCCCCAGTCCGGGAAGATCCCACACGCCGCGGAGCGCCTGGGCCCGTGAGCCATGGCCGCTGAGCCTGCGCGTCCAGAGCCTGTGCTCCGCAACGGGAGGAGAGGCCACAACAGTGAGAGGCCCGCGTACCGCAAAAAAAAAAAAAAAAAAAGAATGCACCAAGTGACCATGTCAGGGAAGAGCATCCCAGGCAGGGGCATGACCCGCACCAAGGATTTATGGTGGTGGAACAGACGGAGGCCATTGCCACTGGAGCAAAGCCAGTGTGGACAGCAGCAGAAGGTGTGACACAGAGACACGGCAGGGCCAGGTCATACGGGCCTTGGGGATCATAGGAGGAACTTGTGATTTTACCCTGAGAGAAATGAGGAGCCATTGACAGGTCTTGAGCAGAGGAGCGACTTGAAAAAGTAATTGGACTTGTTTCTTTAAAGCATGCCTCTGGCTACTGTGTGGAGAACAGATGTTGGTGCGGGAAGGGGCAGGGTTGTTGCTAAGAGCAGAAGCAGAGAGGACAGAGAGGAGGCCCCTGCAGTAATCCAGGTGACAGGTGATGGTGGCTTGAGCCTAGGTGGTAGCAGTGGAGTGGCTTCTGGGTATATCCTGAAGGTAGACCCAACAGAATATCCTGCCAGACTGAATAGGGAATGTGAGAGAAAAAGGGGAAGCAAGGATGACTCTAAGGTTTAGGGCCTGAACGATGGATGGTTAGGATCTGAGATAAGCATGAAATATGACAGATTCCCATAAAACAGAGACCCCTGCAGAGTGCCAAAGTCAGAAGGCATCACCACCCCATCCCTTTGCCTGAAAAAGTAAAACAGTGAACTCTGGTCCATGAGTGAAGCAGAGCCCTTTTCCCAACATTCCTTATTGCAAAACTGGAGCTCAGGCACAGAGGAGGAGTTTCAAAGAACCTCACTTTGGGACACGTAAAGTAGCAAGGGTCAAGGTCATTGGCTATAGCTCCCCCTTCAAGGGTGGCTCTTGGGTGAATGAAGATCTTTCAGCTCCAGATGTTGGCGCAGCCTTTGAGAGCTGATTCTCTAAACGCGAAAACACCAGGCTCAGAAGCGCCCTGAGGTTGGCTGCCGTATGCAGCTGGCAAGCATCCCCTGAAATCAGCAGGTGAATAGAGCACTCACTGATAGAAATATCATCACCACAACAGCTGGGCGCCTTGCGAAAATAAACAATGACACAGCGTGAGCATCAGAAAAGCCGCCCTCAGCACCTGGAGGGGTGGCGCTCTGAAGTGGCATCAGCACTTGTCTGCCAGCCTGCCCAGGCTGAGGCAGCCCACGACTTTGGCCAGTCCAGCAGCACAGACGGGTCTGCCATAGGTCCTGAGTATTGTTAGACTGCTCCCAAGAGGACCAGTGCCACATCCTGTGGTTTGACTGGGGACCATCTGGTAAGGGCTTGTGTTGGTGGCTACCTATCATTTGTAGCAAAATAAGGTTGTGCAGAGGATGAAAGATCTCCAGGTGCTTTATTTTCTTGCACTGCTGGCCAAATCTGTCTGCTTCTGTTCAGAATACTGTAGCACGTCATTCAACCAGCCATCCCCAGCCACAGATATTTTTCCATTCTCCGCAGTGGCTGCTGTTCAAAGACAGTTATGAGCAGTGGGGGGCTCAAGATAAAGACTCCCAAAGCAACTTTATTGACCTTAGAGATTTTTTTAAGCTCTTTGGGACTCCAGAGGGCTGTGGTCAGATGAGCGGGGCAAAATCCTAACCACAGCCTCCAGCGAATGACACTGTGGTTTCTGAGGGGCACATCAGGAAGAACCTCTTCAACTACACCCAAGAGCATTGACAAGATCTCTTCCATCTTTGTGGGCTCTATGATGAGACCAGAGTCCATGGGGACCAGACACCAGAGAGGAGCCCTCTTCTTGGTCAGGCCACACCCACTATCGTTTAGAATCCTCTGTGCCCACCATGGGGTGGGTCTGGGTGGTAGACAGAATCTTGGCCCCCCAAAGATGTCTACATTCCTAATCCCTACATCTATGAAGGTATGAGTGGTAAATGGGAATTTGCAGATGTGGTGAAGTTCAGGATCTTGAGATATGTAGGTTGTCCTGGCTTATCCAGGTGGCCCTGCTGTTAGAGTCTTTATAAGAGGGAGGCAGGAGGATGAGAGTCAGGAACAGATCATGTGACAGTGGAAGCAGAAATTGGAGTGATCGGGCCACAAGTCAAGGAATGCTGGCAGCTTCTAAAA